AATGAGGGGGGGAGGGGGAGGGGGTTTTTGGGGTTAGTGGTCAGCGGTTGTGTTGGTGTTGTACAAATTAAAGATGGCGGTGTGTATAGAAAGTACAAGAGCGTTTAGTGTAGTATGAAATAATGTGAGAGATGGCAGATTAAGGTATAGAGAAGAGCGTATCAGGGGAAGGAAAGACCCACTGTAAGGAACGAAGAAAAACGAAGCAGAAGGTGAGTGAATCAAGTAATTTATTACAAAAGTGAATTGAAATGGCGAAATATAAAGATAATGAAATAAAATGGAAACTAACGAACCCGTAGGTAGGAAACCAACAGATATAAATATATATACATATATGTGAATGAACATGAACAAACTAAGTCAACTAAGGAACGTCTATCCAATTGGGGGGGGGGGGGGGGGGGGAGTGGGGCAGGTAGTGGAATTCGTCTGTGAAGGCTCCTTGTGTCTGGGAAGGCTTGTCGAGATGTGCTGTAGAATGGGTTTGTTGATAAGTGGAGGTGAAGAAAAACAGTTCTTGCACATTTGTTGTAGTATTCTTTATTCTGTAAACAAAATGAATATGTTTGAGTTTTCATTTGTGTACTCTAACAAAACAATAAAATGGTAAAAGGTCTTAGCTTGTGTGATCTTTTAGCTTGTAATACTAGTCTTTTGAAAACCATCCCTTCTCAGGTGAGTAAGCGTTACTTGGCGGGCTATATTTCAGTAGTATCGCACCGACCCAGGAATCTTGTCTCAACAGGTAATTTGCATGTGATGTGAAAGCAAAGACCACAAAATGACTCATGATATAGTCTCGAGTATAGTTTTATTAATGATATTGGATCATTCACTGACCTACTAACAACATGATCACTAGCTACTTTTAACAAGACTTGTAGACCAACTAGTAGCTGATAGTCACATACTACCGAAAAGGTTGTAAAAAACGCTTAAACCTCTCTTCATAATAATCTATTTGTAATGTCACACCATTTCTGTTACGACATACAGGTCAATACTAAGCAGGCGTCGTCAAAATAGTCCAAGTGAAATCAAAGCTTTGACATTTTGGTTTCTTCATATAACAGTGTGGTCTACATTCATTGTTGCGTGACTCAGTATTGCTTTACAAATATAAGTCATGTGAGTCTACAAGATCAACATGAGCCCAGCCAGTACACCAACAAGAACAGTGTGGAAGTTCACCATGACACCAACACAACCTGCTTCGCTCGCAGCAATAATGACAGAATATTATGATGGATAGATTCCTATGCACATTA